GGACACATCTGGCGCATTCTGCAATGATGCTCTCCCGCCGTTACCCATCAGAGCGCTCGTGGCGAGCGCGTCGCGCGGCTTTCTCACCAACTCGAACAGAGGCCACCGCATTTATCGGAAGGTGGCGGGGACCCTGTGCCAGCGCGCTCGCGAGGAGCTCGGGGCTGCAGGCCTCTTCTGGTCGAGGGCTGCCTGGGATGGGAGCCTGCGCGCGGCGATGGCTGGTCTCAAGGCGCTCGCGGGCACTGCAGACGCGGGCCTGGAACAGGGCTTAAAAGAAGTCTTGACTTTGATCACGCAGGCCCACCTGGAGGGGCTGCGGCGACCAGCAAGCGCCTCCCGTGGAGCTCACAAGACTGCCGCAAGCCGAGCGCACCCGAGCCGAGCGGCCACAAAGCAGGCCTGGTCCCCAGCTGGTGGCGCATCAAGGAAAGCGAGGGAAGCAAGAGAGGAACTGGCCACCTACCTCTTTGGGGACAAGGGTGAGTCCCGAGCGATACCTTGATCGAGCTAGCAGAGCACCCAACTAGGCGTTTGCAGAAGTCAGTTTTGGGGCTTGGGGGACACTTGAGTCTTCAGCTTTTGCGATTGCACTGGATTTCCAAGCGCTCGCGTGCACAGCATGGCCTGGGACATGAGAGGGCGAGCCTCTACACCCACGTGAGTTGCAGTGTTTCACTTGCATCCGATCGTGACTTCAACTCTCCGTGCTTTTCTTGCAGTTCCATACGGCCTCCTCTGCAAACACTGCAGCTCTCCCGCGATCTTTGCGCGGCGGGGGGGCAAGGTAGGGGGCGGCTTCGAGTGCTTCTGCAAGAAGCATTATGAGCAAAAGAATCCTGGCAATCCTGGCTGCTTCGAGTTGGAGAAGACTCGGGCAGGTGAGCCCTACCCACCAGTCATGGTGCCGGCTCTGCATCAGTTACTTGGCTCTCGAATCATTGTGCCAGCTGCAACCATGCGAGTTTTGTATGCATGTTGGCTGTCGTCCACAAGCGCGCAATCGTTCTGCATTTGAGCACTCGTTGCAAAGACATGTGCTTCGTGCTTGTTTCACAGAGTGGGCACGTGTTTGCGAAGTGCGCAAGGCGAAGGCAGAGCTGGCGCAGGCGCTTGACGAGGACACGGAGCTGAGGAGGGAACACGGTGAGATTTCACAGGCAAAGGGCAAGCAAGCTGCCTCTTGTTCGTTAGACCCGTGCACGATCTAACCTTGTTTTTGACAACTCTTTGCTTGAATTAGGCTTGGTCTGTCCTGATTCTGGAAGTTCATCTCTACAGCAACACCCTGAAAGATCCTTGTCAAGCTTGAAACCAAGTGAGGTCGATGCTTACATCTAAAAGGTCGCTGCGAAGCTTGCCCGGAGGCTCACGTGCCGACTAGACTCATTTTGCCCCTTGTTTCCAGTATGCGACGGATATCAGCGTGACAGTTTCTGCTGGGATGCGACTCCCAAGAGCAGGAACCTGATCGGTGAGTCACGGCTCGAAAGTAGTTTCAATCTCCTGCTTGTAGCTGCCCGTCTTTTGACGTTCGTGTACATGAAAGAAAGCGCCCGCAAAGCTTGGGCCGTACCCGGATGACCAGTCAACCTTGCTGGACCACACCTTGAAAACTGCGCCGAGCAGAGTGGGATTCCGTATTTATTATGACAAGTGTGGTCCAATTGACGATAGTGTGTACCATCCACTTCTTCACGACCTGAATGATCGGCCTGGCTTGCTGGACCACACCTTGCAGCTGGCTTATGAGTGCTAAAGTAGGTTTCCTTGTAATCATTGACAAGGTGTGGTCCGTGACCGAATTGACGGACTTTTTTGACTCGCTGGACTACACGTTGCTCAAGGTCTGGGAGTGCTAAGAGTAGCTTCCCATATAATCTTTGATGAGGTGCGGTCCAAAGGCCGAACCCGCTTGCCACATTCGTCTAAATGGCCTGTACGGCGTGTCTGACTCACGGAAAGGTTGGACCACACCTTGCAGATGGCTCTTGCTAGCAAACGAACAGAGTTCCTAAAAATCATTGACAAGGTGTGGTCCATGACCGGATGGCCGGTCTGATTTGCTGGACCACACCTTGCACATGGCCTTACAGTGCTGAGAGCGGGTTTCCTTATAATCTTTGACAGGGTGTGGTCCTTTGAACAAACGCGTGCATGCCACTTGCTTCTTTATGACCCGAATGGTCGGTCTGGCTTGTTTGACCATTATTGCGTTCGTTTTGCAGCAAAGCTTCTGCTGATCGGTGGCATCGAAAGCAATCCCGGGTGGCCAGCGTCCCAGTCACAAGGGAACGAGAACAAGGACGGACCTGCACCCAATGTCAGCCTTCGTCGTCCGCTTGTGATTCTGCCCTCTCGAGAGGTGAGAACGAGTGAGTGCCGATCTGACTATTCGCACATGGCTCTATGCTAGCCTGTGATGATACGACGACGAATGTAGCTCTCCGCTTCAAAAGGTTGCCTGAGATCATCAAACCGTTCTGCAATCGCTTCAAGTTTCCTGATCCTTGAAAGGGTAGCGTGCCGTGGATATCCAACCGACGAAACGTACAGATGAACGAAGAGGATGTTGTGCAGGACGTCGAACGGATATGGCAGCCAGAATGTGATGAGCGCGGTGTTCCTGAGGAGTTCCTGGAGTATCTGAAGAGGAAGCAACAGGTAAGCAACTGTTAGTCGTTGCAAGCAGGCAAAGCGCACACCATGAAAGCAGCTTGTATGCGTGTGTGCAGCCTAGCTCTGATTCTGCCGATACTCAGACCGGCCATTCCGACTAGTCAGAAGCATTTGGCAAGCAGGTTTTACTTTGTTTGGCAAGCAGGTTTTACTTTGTTGGACCACACGTCGTCAATGATTCTTAAGAGATGCTAGGTAGCGTGCAGGATGTGGTCCACTGGTTCGCTCGTTAGTCAGACCGGCCATTCCGGACATTCAGAAGCATGTGGCAGCAGGTTTTACTTCGTTGGACCACACGTCGTCAGTGATTCTTTAGAAACGCTAGGGAGAGCCTTGTGCAAGGTGTGGTCCAGTTCTGTTTGTAAGTCAGACCGGCCATCCCGGCCATCGAAAAGCATGTGGCAAGCAGGTTCCGCTTGTTGGCCCACACATCGTCAATGATTCTTAAGAAACGCTAGGAAGAGCCTTGGGCAAGGTGTGGTCCACTGGTTCGTTCGTCAGTCATACCGGCCACCGCTGAGCACTCTACCACTGTGAAGATTGCGCAGCAACCCTCAGAGCACCCGCATGGTTGTCAAGTCTGACCGGTAATCTACTCTTTCTCCAGATGAACCCCAGCCTTGCAATCCACGAGGGGAGGCCTGCCCCTGAAAAGTGTGATCGCGGGGTGAATAAGGGCATCGCCCGGTCTGAGTTTTCGGGGGAGAAGCCGAGTGCAAACAAGACGCAAGACGACAAGGAGCTCGACCATCAAGACATGGTAGAAAAGGGCCCCTTCACTGCCTTGGTGAGTCTCGATTCATGGTCTCTTTGCTTTGGCATATCGATTGGGAGCTGTCCTAGATGCTTCCCGTCGCGACTCGCGAAGCCAAGTATCCGAGACTTGTCAAGGGGGGCAGGGGAGCAGCTTTTGAATGAACGTTTTGCTGCGAATGGTGCCAAAACAGGGTTCATTTTTACAATGTGAGGATTCTTTTTCTGTAGTGACCATCTGCTGCGCATGCGCAAATCATATCAGGCAATGATGCACTTTGTACTTTCAGACAGCAGTCACCAAAGTGCAGTGCTGCCACGTCTTCCGGTCTCTGATGGTTATTGTGGATGGACTTGTGGGGACGTGCTACGCATACTCACATCTCTGTCGTTTTTCCAGGTGGAAAGCAGCTCCGCTGACGAAGGGAGCCAGCTGTCGACTTCAGTGAGAGGGATTGCTCGCGTTGCTGATGAGAGCAACGGTTGCGGCGCCACAAAAGAGGTGAGAAGTGAGACGAGCTTGGTCAAGCCATCGAATCGATCTTAGAATCGAGCTGCAGGCCACATAGGTTGCTTGCCACTCATAGGTGGTCCTGTGAAGTCTGCTTTTAGGGTAGAACCGTAATCGAGTAATGCTAGTGTTGCTGAGTGTGGGTTGTGATGCAATCTGGCAGTGTGTGGCGGGAGGATTGTGGAATTTCTTTCTTGTTCATCGTATGTTTCTCTCGTGCGGCGACCTTTTCGAGCTCCAGATGGTCAGATTCCACGCGCTGCAGAGAAGTACCTGTGATCACCGTACAAATCTCTGGACAGCGCCAGCAGCTGACGGCCTGCCTCCCTTCCATTGAATGCATTCGGTCCCGATTTACAAAAGAACATCTCTTGGTCTATTGCTGACGGATTTCCCATCTTCTGTGCAGGAAAGCGGCGGCAACAATCGGCCGGCGACGAGTGCGGCCGACGAGTCCAATCTCGAGCGGTCAGGATCCGAAGAAGAGGGCGAGGACATTGAGGGGGCGGAGTTTGAGAGCATGAGCGAATCACCGGACGAGGAGACATCCCAAGATCGTGAAATGATCGACGACGGAAGTCAAGTCGAAGAGAATCCAGTGATTGCGCAAGGCAGGATTCGCGCCGTCATGGGCTCCGACTCCGAGTCGGACGTTTCCCAGCTGCTGGGCCGCCGCCTCAAGCCGCGAGCGCCGGGGCGGGCGACTAAAGCATTCCGAACGAGGCGCCGACCCGTTTCTTCGCCCCCACCGTCGAAGTCATCTGCCAAGGAAGGCAGCCCTTCCCGGTGCTCCGGCTCTGCCGCAAGCGACGGGAAATGGGCGTGGCCCCAGGCTGATCAGGCTGGGCTCGTGCCCACCGCAATGGAAACGGATTCTGAATTCGACGAGCTTCCCGCGCGCCTCAAGCGGCGGGTGTCTGATGGGGCAGCCCGCTCTTGACAAACCAGGCGGCGCCGCCGGGTGCTGCTCTCATCGTCGGAGTCCTCGGGTGAAAACGGCAGCGTTTCCGTGTGGCAGAGCGATGCGGCTGGGCTGGACGAGGAGGTGCAGCAGCTGGGGGGCGACGAGCTCTTGCCTGACGCCAGCGCCAGCTTCTATGAGCCGTCGGAGCCTGAGGACGATGGCTGTTTCGACGAATCTGACTTTGGGGAGGACTTCACGAGTCGGTGCTTGAATGTGCCGCGTCCGCGGCGAGCGACCATTGGTCAGGTGAGCGCCGTTTTCCTGCTGGAGTCCGGGCCATCCGCGAGGTGTGGTCCGGTCAGTTAGGCCGTCGGTAAAGTT